GAACATTAACCCCACGATTGCTGCTATTGTGCCAATCTCGGGGTTAATTTTAGTATTGGACGGAAATTTTCCATCCTGTGTCCTTTAGGGGAGGACTGCAATGATGGAAAATTTCCGTCCAGAGTCCTTAAGGGGTTAATATTTTAAAAAGGTTATGAACTTTTAGAATCATGTAATATTTTAGTTAGTTTGTTTAGAGAAGAAATAGTCTAACAACAATATTCTTCACTTCTCTGGCTAGTGTTAAGGATGTTAACGCCAAACATAATGGTCTCAATATTTGAAGAATAGCTGTTTAAAGGGATACTATAGTGTTAGGAATACAAACCTGTATTCCTAACACTTTAGATCCCTCTGCTCCCCCTTCCCCCCAGCCAAAAAATAGTTATTTACTTACACAATCTCATCGCTGATATCCCTTGGCGCTTGGTCGGTGCTCCTCCTCCAATGTCATCCAACGGGGGGCTAATGCGCATGCTCGGCAAACGCTGCAAGCACAGTAGGCTCTCTCTATAGGAAACCATTGATTCAATGCTTTCCTATGGGGATTTAACTGAAGCTGGATGTCCTTATGCAGAGCGTGAGGACATCCAGCGTCAGGCGACCTAATGTCACTTAGCAAGCTGTCTTAGAACTGCAAGGTAAAGATTGCAGTTCCTCTACAACTGCAGTGATTTACATTGTAGGACTAAGTGGAACAGGGACACTGCACCCAGACCACTTTAATGAGATGAAGTGGTCTGGGTGCCTATAGTTTCCCTTTATATAGTATATCATAACAAATATAAAGTAAGGTGCATAAAATAGAGGGTATTGGCAGGCTCACTCTTAAATTCCCCCTGACCCATGTAGCAGACTCCTTCCCCTTGTGTTCGGTTGTCTGTACCCCTTTGTCTGTCTCCTGAATGGATGATGTGTGTGGTTCCCCCGTTTTATACCTTTCCGAACACCAACCACCCCTGGCTGTTAACCGCAATTAAGTGTTTTCCCTTGCTGGCCGCCATTTGTATAATTGAACACACATGCTCCTGTGAATGGTGGCCATTTTGTCTCACGAACACAGGCAGCAGTACATGGTCATCTAACGACTGGAACTATTTTTGGCCATGCAAGTCCACGACCTCGGGCAAAGCTTGTACCACTTCCCATCCCACCTTCCGACCAGCTAGACGAACAACGTTCGGGAGATAGGAACTACTGACTGGGGGGATCATTCGCTCCCTAAAAGCCAGGGGGAGTATTCAGCCGTTGCCCTCGTTTCTCTGGAGCTGTTTTGGGCTATCACCTCGTGGCCGGTCGATCAAAACTACCGAACGGATCTGAGCGATATTTAGACATCTTGGGCGCTCAAATCCAGGTTATTCGGAGATGTAAGACTTATGGGGTTCCTGAAAAAGATGACTATGTTATTGGGGTGTTTTATGTGTGTTTCCTGTATTTCCCTGTAACTGAGAGATAATTGAGTTACTTAGTTTTGACTCAATTATCTCCCAGACACAGAGATGCCTGGGAGGGGCGTGTGTATATTTTGAATGGAGACCCCATGCTGGGAGTCTGTGCATAAAAGGTTTGTGTGGAATAAATCAGTTGTACTCCCAGAACTGTGGACATTCGGAACAATACCCGGGTCAAGGCAGTGATACAAGCCAGGAATTCCATAACTCTCTCACTCTCCCTTCAAGTTAGTGATATCCACATCAGTCCATCCTTGCAAGTGCGCTGTCTTGATGTCATACTTGATTCTGGCCTCACCTTTGAGCCTCACATCCAGCATGCTACCGAGACCTGTAGATTCCATCTTAAAAAGATAGCCCGCATCCGCCCCTTTCTTATGCTAGATGCTACTAAGGAGCTTGTCCATGCTCAAGTAATTTCCCACATGGATTATTGTAACCCTCTCCTAATTAGTCTTCCCAAAAACCGTATTGCCCTGCTACAGTCTGTAATGAATGCTGCCGCCAGACTGATTTTCCTCTCTAGTCGGTCCAATCACACCTTCACCTCTGTCAGTCCTTACATTGGTTTCCTGTATCCTATAGGAGTCAATTCAAAGTGCTAATCCATACCTATAAAGCATTGACTAATTCTAGCCCCTCTTAGATCTCTTCACAGATCCCCTTCTTGGTCTCTATGCCCATAACCTTCTCCTGTCCGCTGCTTGCACGCGTACCGTCAACTCATGCTAGCAGGACTTCTCGCGAATGGCTCCATTCCTATGGAATAGCCTGCCTACCGCCATCAGACTCTGCCCTAGTCGTCAGTCATTTAAGAAGTGCCTTAAAACTAATTTCTTTAGGAAAGCTTATGGCCTCCCAGAGTAAACTCTACCTTACATACCTGTCTCTTTTGCTCTCTGCTCGATCTGTACTTTGACCCATTCTCTTTAATATTTTTATTAGTGGTATTGCAGGTCTTGATGGTAAGGTCTGTTTTTTTGCTGATGATACTAAGATATGTAACAGGGTTGATGTTCCAGGAGGGATAAGCCAAATGGCAAATGATTTAGGTAAAGCAGAAAAATGGTCAGAGTTGTGGCAACTGACTTAATGTGGATTAGTGCAAGATAATGCATCTTGGACATAAAAAGTGTACAGCATATTTGATAGAGTCCTAAACTCAACATCTGAGGAAAGGGATTTAGGGGTGATTATTTCTGATGACTTAAAGGTAGGTAGATAATGTAATAGAGCAGTAGGATGCTTGGTTGTATAGGGAGAGGTATTGGCAGTAGAAAGAGGGAATTGCTCATGCCATTGTACAGAACACTGTTTCTACTCCTCCAGCTCTGCTTCACTCCCACCCTATTTGATTGCTATTGCTATTTCCTGTCCTATTGTGTTTTACACCCCACCTCCTATAGACTGTAAGCTCATTTGAGCAGGATCCTTTTCAACCTATCGTTCCTGTAAGTTTTTTTTGTAATTGTCCTATTTTTAGTTAAATCCCCCCTCTTATAATATTGTAAAGCACTACGGAATCTGTTGGCGCTATATAAATGGCAATAATAATAATAATACCTCAGATGATTCAGGGACCTAAGGAAGGTTGAAAAGGATTCCCATACCGAGTGGGCATGTCGGCTCCACAGGGCTGCCATGGGATGGGTACAAGCCCACCAAGTGAGCATCATGGAGGGGCTATTGCAGTTGGTGCTCCTCGAACAATTTTATAATGGACTATCTCCTGACATCTTCATAACTAAAATGCTCCATTTCTTTTATCAATTTTGTAGCTCGTCTCTGCAATTTTTCTAGTGCCATGATATCTTTCTTTAGAACAGGTGCCCAAAATTGCACAGCATATTCAATGTGTGATCTTACCAGCGATGTATAAATTTATATCACCTATAAGAAGCACAAAGAATACCTAGGTGGGGATTGTACCACCCATACGCTATACATCTCATCAAGATTTTCGTCTGTATGTACCTGTTAGCTTACTCTCCTACCTCTCTACGCCATCACACTGAAAACTTTTACTTATATTGTCCCCAGCCGGTACTATATACATCGGTGTTGGGGTTACAACATAAATATACAACCTCTGTCGATCATTACTCTACACTCCAAGGACATAGGTCACTCGAACACACCAAGTTATATGTCTCTAGCACCAATTACTGATTGCACAGATCTTCCTATGACATGTCGAATTACACTTATGGTTACCCTTGATGATGTATACCGACAGATGTATGTCTTATTCCTCAGGTACTCACAATTCATTACCACTTTAAAGTATTATAAAAAAAAAAAAAAAAAGGAAATGCATATAATTATAAATAAACAGAAACACATACAACATTACATAGACAATACTTTACAACAACACTGTTGGGAATAGTTGGGGGGGGGGCCTCTCTCTTTCTCTCTTACTAACACAGTATTGTTGCACCCTTTTATGTTTAGGTTTGACTTCCTTCTCTCTCCATTAAATTGAGCCAAAGCTAAAAAAAAATATAATATAAATATCTGGGGTTAGGGATGCAGAGTTTGGGGCACTGTTGTATCTGCTAGGTTGGACTCAGCCAAGTCTGCAACTATACCTTTCCCTGACTCGGAACAGGTTGACAAACCAATACTTCTGGCCGCATGCTCAGAAAATATGCTAAAACAGTATCCTGTCATTATGTATCATAATTTTGTTAGCTGTTTGTTTTCCTTTTCTTTTACACTCTCAACCCAGTACATGTTATCATTGTATACTTGGCAGTGCCAAACGCAATATAATTGATTTTTTTTTGTTTGTTTTTGTTTTTCTAATGTATGACTTCTGCAACATAGACACAGTTTAAATGTTTCAACTGCTTTGTATTTGTTCATTAACCAAAAATTGCAGATAGCGAGCTGTGTACACATAATCTTGCAATACATTATCAGTGTTATTTGTACTCTATAGTTGTATAAATGTTGCTATATGTGATTGTAACTATGCACATCAAAATAAAAACTATAAAAAAAATAATAATAATATCAGGAAGTATTACTTTACTGAGAGGGCAGTGGATGCATGGAATAGCCTTCCAGCTGAAGTGGTAGAGGTTAAAACAGTAAAGGAGTTTAAGCATGCGTGGGATAGACATAAGGCTATCCTAATTTTAAGATAAGGCCAGGGACTAATGAAAGTATTAAGAAAATTGGGCAGACTAGATGGGCCGATTGGTTCTTATCTGCCGTCACATTCTATGTTTCTATGTTTCATGCAGCAGATCTGATACACGTAGCCGCAGACAACCAACAGCAGTTTGTACAGCTACAAGGAAGGGAGGTGCAGGGGCTGCGAGACATTGGAGCTACCCTCACACTAGTCCATAGGCACCTAGTACCAGATGGGAAGCTCTCTGGCCGTTCAGGTAGCAGGGGGAGCCATCTATCAAATACCCACGGCCCGGGTTCACTTAAATTGGGGTACGGGATCGGGAACGGTAGAAGTGGAGTTGATGCAGCACTTGCCAGCCGAGGTGCTACTCAGGAACGACCTGGTCAGGCTCACCTCCATCTTTTAGCCTCCAGCCCAGACCGCTGGTTATACCTGGTGACCACCAGACAGTAAGCCTGCACCATGGACTCTTGCTCACCTCTGGAGGCTCAGGTAAGGACAGACACCCGACCCTAGAGATTCTCCCTTGGGATTTTGGGAGGAAGATAGTCACCGATCCCACCCTTCAAATACGTAGAGACCGGGTTGTATCTTGACAGGCCGGGCTGGAGGGAGAAAAGTATACGTGGGACCAGGGATTGTTATACAGGGAGTCTGAAAGGATAGTGGCGGGGTCCGAACTGACCCCCGTCAGATAACTTGTTGTACTGCAGAAGTACGGACAAGAGTTGCTCAGAAAAGCGCATGACATCTCCCTTTCAGGACACTTAGGAGTTAGTTGAACGAAATATCTGCTAACTCGTCATTTCTTCTGGCCAGGTATCCAGAAGATAGGGAAGAGAGGAGACCGACACAAGGCCAAACTGCGCTCCCTGCCTGTTATTGAGGAACCCTTTGCAGGGTGGCGGCAGACCTAGTCAGGCCCCTAGCCAGGCCTAGTCCCTTCGACAAGAAGTACATCTTGACAGTAGTGGACTATGCGACCGATACCCAGAGGCGGTGGCGTTGACAAACATCCACACAGACACAGTCGCGGAAGCCCTGATGCGAATTTTCTCCCGAATGGATTTCTCTCGGGAGATAGTTTTGGATCAGGGCTCCCAATTTACTGCAGAGGTCACCCACCAACTCTGGAAGCTCTGCAGCATCAAGACGATTGTGAGCTCCCCCTAACATCCCCAGACGACCAAATGGGACATTAGTTACATAGTTACATAGTTACATAGCTGAAAAGAGACTTGCGTCCATCAAGTTCAGCCTACCTCACATTTGTTTTTTGCTGTTGATCCAAAAGAAGGCAAAAAAACCCAGTTTGAAGCACAATTTTGCAACAAGCTAGGAAAAAAATTCCTTCTTGACCCCAGAATGGCAGTCAGATTTATCCTTGGATCAAGCAGTTATTACCCTACATTGAAAGATTATATCCTTGAATATTCTGTTCTTGCAAGTATGCATCTAGTAGCCGTTTCAACATCTGTATGGACTCTGATAAAACCACTTCCTCAGGCAGAGAATTCCACATTCTGATTGTTCTTACAGTAAAAAAACCTTTCCTTTGCCTTAGACGAAATCTTCTTTCTTCCAGTCTAAACTCATGGCCTCGTGTCCTATGTAAAGTCCGGTTTGTGAATAGATTTCCACACAATGGTTTGTATTGGCCACGAATATATTTGTATAATGTTATCATATCCCCTCTCAGGCGACGTTTTTCTAAACTAAATAGGTTTAAATTTGTTAACCTTTCTTCATAGCTGATATGTTCCATTCCTTTTATTAATTTTGTAGCCCGCCTCTGCACTTTTTCTAGTGCCATAATATCCTTCTTTAGAACAGGTGCCCAAAATTGCACAGCATATTCAATATGGGGTCTTACCAGTGATTTATAAAGAGGCAAAATGATATTCTTGTCCTGAGAATGAATGCCCTTTTTCATGCATGACAATACCTTACTGGCCTTGGCCACTGCTGATTGACATTGCGCATTGTTGCATAGTTTGTTGTCTATAACAATTCCCAAGTCCTTTTCATGTGTTGTTATCCCTAATTCGCTTCCATTAAGGGTATACGTTGCTTGTGTATTCTTTACGCCGAAGTGCATAACTTCGCATTTTTCAACATTAAATTTCATCTGCCATTTGAATGCCCAGTCCCCCAGTCTATCTAAGTCCCTCTGCAGCAAAGTAATATCTTGCTCACTTTGTATTGTTTTACAAAGTTTGGTGTCATCTGCAAACACTGAAACATGACTTTCAATGCGGTCTTCAAGATCATTTATAAACATGTTAAATAGAAGGGGTCCCAGAACAGACCCCTGAGGGACACCACTTACCACCTCTGTCCAGCTTGAAAATTTACCATTAATGACAACTCTTTGTACTCTGTTTTTAAGCCAATGTTCTACCCAAGAACAAGCATTTTCATCTAGACCGATTTTCCTTGAGTTTGAACATTAATCTATTGTGTGGAACTGTATCAAATGCCTTGGCAAAATCCAAATAGATCACATCCACGGCAACACCCTGATCTATACTTCTACTTACTTCTTCGTAGAACGCAATCAAGTTAGTTTGACATGACCTGTGCTTCATAAAACCATGCTGATTTTGCTGATAACCATGTTCTTCTCAAGGAATTCTTGAATATTATCCCTTAATAACCTTTCAAATATTTTACCAGCCACAGAAGTTAATCTCACAGGTCTATAATTTCCAGGCAAGGATTTTGAACCCTTTTTGAATATAGGAACCACATCTGCCTTCCTCCAATCCTCCGGAACACTTCCTGAAAGAAAAGAATCTTGAAAGATTAAAAACAGAGGTTCACTTATTTCTGCACTTAGTTCCTTAAGTACACGTGGATGGATACCGTCGGGCCCTGGAGCTTTGTTTATATTAACTTTCTTTAGTTGCTGCAGCACCTTGTCTTGAGTTAACCAATTACAATTATTCTGCAAGTTTTTAGTAGCAATCATTTGCACATCTATTGCCATGGGTTCTTCCTTAATATATACAGAGGAGAAATAGTTATTTAAAATTCCTGCCTTTTCCTGGTCTTCATTAATTAACACCCCCGTTTCAGTTTTTAGTGTACCTACACTTTCATTTTGTTTTTTTTTTGAATTTATGTACTTAAAAAATGCTTTGGGGTTAGTTTTGCTCTCTTCAGCTATCATTATTTCATTTTGAAGTTTAGCAAGTCTAATTGCCTTTTTGCACGCATTATTTGCATCCTTATATCTTTTATAAGATGCATCTGATTTGTCCGATTTAAATGCTTTAAATGCCCTTCTCTTAGTTGTAATCTCTTGTTTTACTTCTCTACTAAGCCACATTGGTTTTAATTTGTTTCTTTTATATTTATTTCCCAACGGTACATACTGAGAAATGTACCTTTGTAATATTTGTTGGAAGATGATCCATTTATCCTCAGTGTTCTTTTCACTAAAGAGTTTATGCCAGTCAATATATTGTAAAGCTTCCCTTAACTTATTGAAATTGGCCTTTTTAAAATTATATGTTTTAGTATTCCCCATGTGCTTTTGTTTTTTTGAGTTTATTTCAAAGGACACTATATTGTGATCACTATTTCCCAAGTGCTCACCTACTTGAATGTTGGTCAAAAGATCAGCGTTGTTTGTTAAAACCAGGTCCAGACAAGCATCCATTCTAGTTGGTGCTTGTACAAGTTGTGACATGAAGGTGTCATTTAACAAGTTTAAAAACCTAATTCCCTTTGCTGAGGCACTAGTCCCTCTGTCCCAATTTATATCCGGGTAATTAAAATCTCCAATAATTAAAGTGTTACCCAGATTTGCAGCTTTCTCAATTTGCTCAAACAGCTGTTGTTCCTCGTCAATATTAACATTAGGTGGTTTATAACATATCCCAACCAATAGTTGGTTTCCCTTCTTTTCCCCCAAGCAGATATTTACCCATAAAGCTTCCACATTATCCTCCTCGCATTCCATTTGCTTAACATTTGGCTTTAAATCATGTTTGACATACAAACATACCCCACCACCCTTCTTGTTTTTCCTATCCTTCCTAAATAACGTGTACCCATTTAAGTTAGCTGCCCAGTCATGTGTCTCATCCCACCATGTTTCAGTTATGCCTATTATATGATATTGTTTAGTGTATGCTAATGCCTCTAGTTCCCCATTTTGTTATTTAGGCTCCTTGCATTAGTAAGCATACATTTAATATTATGCATCACTTGTATATTTTGTGAATTTTCAACATTACACAGCTTCTCTGTTCTGAGCTTGCCCCTCCCCCCGTTTCCACCCCCTTATACTGTGCTAAAGCCCATCTCCTTTCTGTCCTATCTCCATTTTGTAGATTGCTATGACCCTCCCCCCCTACTACTAGTTTAAAATCTCCTCCAACCTTCTAGCCATCCTATCCCCCAGCACTGCAGACCCTCTCCCGTTTAGGTGCAATCCATCACCACTATAAAGGTTGTACCCAATCGCAAAGTCGGCCCAGTGCTCTAAAACCCAAAACCCTCCTTCCTGCACCAAGACTTAAGCCACGCATTGACCTCTCTAATCTCCCGCTGCCTTTCCACTGTAGCGCGTGGCACAGGTAATATCTCAGAATACCACCTTGGAGGTCCTTTTCTTAAGTTTGCTACCTAATTCCCTGAAATCATTCTTTAGGACCTTCCATCTTCCTCTTACTTTGTCATTGGTACCAACATGGACCATGACCGCTGGGTCATCCCCAGCCCCTCCCAATAATCCATCCACTCTGTCAGCAACATGCCGGACCCGAGCACCCGGGAGACAGCAAACTGTCCGGTTGAGCCGATCAGAGCGGCAGATTGCCCTATCTGCTCTCCTAATGATAGAGTCCCCTACCACCACAACCTGTCTTGCCTTCCTTACATTTTGATCCCCACCCGTACTAGGGGGGCTGTTAGCTCGGCTGTTAGAAGTAACAGCTTCCTCTAATACAGCTACTCCTGAGCTGATGCTCCCAACATCTTCCCTCAAACGGGCAAATCTGCTAGGTTGCACCAAATCAGGACTAGCTAGCCCTTTCCTCTTCCCTCCCCCCCTGCTTCCTCGCCCCACTGTCACCCAGCTACATGCCTGTTCCCCATCTGTCTTATCTCCTCCCTCTCCACTACCTGTCCCCACTAAACTCTGCTCAGTGAGCAGTAGACTCCTCTCAAGATTGTCAATCTCCCTCAATGTTGCGATTTGCTTCTCGAGATCTCCAATCTGAGCTTCCAGAGAAGCCACTCGCACACAACCATCACAGAGGTATGGACCCTGGACGGGTACATCCAGGCAGCCATACATGCAGGGCCGTCTTTAATACTGATTGGACCCTGGGCAGGTATTTGATTTGGGCCCCTTGACCTAGCCCTTCCCCTTCCTAGCATGCCATCACGCCATCAACGCCCACACACACCAAAAAAAACCACACACACACTTAGCCCTCTCATTTCTTACTGAGACAAAATACACACACTGAGACACATACAGATGCAAACACTGACATACATAGATATGCACACATACACACGTACAGGCATACATAGAGAGATACACAGACACACAAGTGCATACACAGACACACATGCAGATACACACTGACACACCTTCATACACCGATGCACAGATACACTTACTGACAAACATGCAGATGAACAGAAACTGACATACATTCAGATACACACAATAACATACAGATACATACATGGACCCACATGCAGAAACACACAGATACAGACACTGACACATATACAGATACAGAGACACACATGCAGCTACACATTCATACAGAATGACACTCACACAGATACAAACACAGACACATATGCAGACACAAAGACATGCAGACACACATACAAACATACACACAGATACACATATAAACATATAGACATATAAACATACACATATACAAACAGACACAGAGACACACAGATACACATATATACAAAGACACACATATGGACACACAGGGTCACAGAGAGACACATGCAGATACAGAAACACACACACACACATACAAACAGATACACACACACACATACAAACAGATACACATACACACATACAAACAGATACACACATACAAACAGATATACATACAGATACATACAGACATGCACATTTTTTATGTGTTTTCTACCTTTGTAGTGCAGGAGGCTGGCTCAGGCTGATGGGAGTCAGAGCTCCCACTCTGACTCCCTCCTTTTCTTCTCCTCCTCCCGCGCGGGATCATCACAGGGGGCCCGGTCGTGCTCTCAAAGCGGCCGGGCCCCTTAAAATCCATCGCTTTAGGGTGGCCCTTAGAGCATTGGCGGGTGGATGAGCCTTCACATCGCGCGACCTGCGGTGGTAGTTCCACGCGGGCCGCACGCACCATGGCAGCCGGAGGGCTAAAGGGGCAGCTACTTTGGGCCCCCTAAGACTGACTGGGTCCGGGGCAGCTGCCCCTTTTGCCCCGTGTTACAGACGGCCCTGCATACATGCAACAAGATGTGCATTGAGTTAAACCAGCAATCTTGCTAACACTCATTTCCCCTTTAAACAGTAAATAAAAACAATTACCTTGATAGTTTGAACCCCTTGTTAGTTTTAACTCCTGGTTTTCTAACTCCTACTTGAAAGAGTCTACTTAATAGAGGCTGCTTTCAAATAATGTGAGCAAATGCGCCACTAGCAGAGACTGGGAAAGATTCCTGCTGCACCTCCTCTTTGCATACCGGGAGGTGCCACAGGAATCCACAGACTTCTCCTCATTTGAACTGCTATTCAGGAGACTAGTGACTATTGAGCTTGTTACTTTGATGCCCTACCATGGCAACCCATGCACAGATCTCTACTACAGATTTTTCACTTGGGGAAAATGCCCTGTGTTTGTTCTATACAAAACATGCAAATTTAGTGACATGCTTGCACTGTGCTTACTGCTAAATCGTCTCTGATGTCCCCATAAACAGGATTAGTGTTGTAGTATATGTCTAGTGTCTGTAGTGAGTGTTTGTTATGGGCTGTTCTGTGGTGTATGTTTGTGTGTAAGCTGAAGTGTACTGGTGTATATAGACTGTAATTTGTGTGTATGTGTAGTGAGAGATAGGGGTTGTTGGATGAGAAAGGAAGAGCAATTAAATACTAATTTAAAAAGAATAAATATCCAACCCCTCCCTTTTGTTAAACACAAAAAGAATTCAGCGCTAGTAATCACAAAATTAGTCAAGGTAGGCAGCAACCCAAATGAAGGAAAACCCCTCGGGTCCTTCGGTGGATAGATACAAAAAGATATGGAAGGGCTGCACCAAATAAGGGTAGATAGTCCAGTAAAGTATTGCTAGGGTGCCAATAGATGGTCTAGGATACTTGATAGAGTTCCTCTGTGGATGCGTCTGGTGTAGACCGTTCCTTATATGTAAATACAAGAGAGGTAGAGGCGACTAATGGTATAGTATGAAAGTTCAGGGTGTGATAGGTAACAAAAAGTAAAGAACTCACATTCAGGAGAGCTATGGCCAGCTCTGGTGTGGATTGTGTACAGCGGTATAATCCCCGCTTATGGGATATGTAGGGAGGGGTCTCCGTCAGCACCGTCTGGTAGTCCAGAGCTCGAAAAAGAAAGGCAGAAAGCAACAATAGTGCTCTCAATTTTGATGTGGTTCAATGTGCAGATAAGAAGAGGTAAAAAACTCACATTTGAGGGAGCTATGGCCAGCTCTGGTGTGGATAGCGTACAGCGGTATAATCCCCGCTTGTAGGATATGTAGTGGCGATACGTCCGTCAGCACCGTCTGGTGATCCAAGGCTCCAATATAGAAGAATAAAAAGCAGCAATAGTG